AAAGAACCCGTTTCCTCGTATATTAACTATATTAATATTAATCGATATTAATTAGGTTAAATATGAGAAGTTATGTTGGAGGTAATCTCTACACTCTCTTTCCCTCGTGTTGGTATCGTTGGGGCCCTGATTCACACCTTTTGCTCACAGGGGGCGGAGTCATGCTTGCAATTACAGCATTGTAAGAGGAGGAAAACTGGACATGCAGGCCTCCACTTCTATTTAATGGTGGACGTTTTTTCTTCACAAAAATGGCTTCCTTTACTCCTCTCTCAAACCAACGTTCCTCTCTATCAASGATGAGAACATCTTCATTCCTGAAAGAGTGACCACTGGCCTGTAGATGAGTGTAAACTTCAGAGTCCAGACCTGACGACGTAGCTCATCTCTGACGACGTAGCTCATCTTTGCTGGCTCATTCTTTTGAACAGTGGGTGGACAGGGGACGTTGAACCCCTGCTTGCATTCACTACATACACATAACTCGACACGGGTCAGATGATGGGGCACACAACCCTCTATGAACAATAGAGCTAATCAAGCCTATTGTTAGTCAGTGGCCCTCTTTTGCATGTGACTAACCTGTTTGTCCATGTGGAGGCGGAGCTTATAAGGCTGAGTTTCATCTGAAACGTTTCACTAAAGAAGAACCCATCCAGAGGACCTACTTATTTTTTCTTTTTGATTGGAAAGAAATCTTTTCAGTTTTCTGCTCCATCTTCTTCGAATCAGTTGTAGAGATACTTGAACCTAAAGGTGCTGTTGTCACTAAATGTTTTTAAGGTTGTTCTTATTGATTTTGGGGAAAAAATCTTTTTGTAAATGTTTTAACTGAGGAATCTTTTATTTAATCTTTCTATGATGGTGCTGTTTCTATTTTTGCTGTGAATGTTTTGTAACCTCTGTGTACCACTGCCATATATTCTTAATCTCAATGGGATTTTCCTGGTGAAATAAAGGTTTATAATAAATAAAAAAAAAATAATAATAATAATAATAATAAATCAAACATGTCTATGTTTAACTAAAAGAACTCAGAGTAATTAAAGTAGGAAACCGAGAGTTTTGGCTTAAGAGGTGAATGAACCATTTGGCGAGTCGATCTTTGGCCACTTGCAGGCCGGATGTGGCCTGCGGGCCACCAATTGAATATCCCTAATATATATTTTGTTCCTTATTTTATGTTTTAATAATTTAATTTCAGATGAAACAAATGGGAAAACGGTGCTCCTGAAAGCTTTACTGAACCTGAAAGATGGAATAAACGACACAGTTCAGGTTTTCATCGACACCGCAGAGAAAACCGGGGATTTAGAAAATTTGATCAATGCATCTTATACAGATGCCTACTACAAAGGTGAGCAATCAGACAGGTGATTTTTCATTTGTAATTAATATATATATATATATATATATATATATATAAATGAATGAAAACCCAACAGGTCAAACGGCCCTGCACGTTGCCATAGAAAGGAGGAGCTTAGATCACGTCAAGCTGTTGGTTCAGAATGGAGCAGATGTGCAAGCCAAGGCCAGTGGCAAATTTTTCCAGTATAAATCCAGACGGGGCTTTTATTTTGGTGGGTCATTTAATTTAAAAAAACACACTTACCGAGATGTTTGCTGCCTCACCTCTGAACTCGTGTTTATTTCTCCCAACAGGGGAGCTTCCTCTGTCTCTGGCTGCCTGCACAAACCAGCCGGACGTCGTGTCCTTCCTCATAGACAACCCTTACAGAAGGGCTGACCCCAGCGATAAAGACTCGCTGGGGAACACCGTGCTGCACACCTTGGTGGTCATAGCAGATGACACAAAAGAAAACACAGAAATGGCTGCGAGGATGTACGATAAAATTCTCCTTCAGCACTATAAACTGGAGGAAAACAGAGGCATTAATTTGGAATCGATTGAAAATAAAAAAGGTCTGACTCCCCTGAAGTTAGCTGCCAAGCTGGGGAGGATCGGGGTAGGTTCTTTCCTACAGGACCTTCGGCAACATTTCAAGTTAACTTGTTGCAAAATAACAAAACAGAACAATGTTTCTCCTTGAGACTTTAAGAATGATGGTGTTCTGTGTCTCTCAGCTGTTCAGACACATGCTGAATCGAGAATTTGTGGACGAGGAGACGAGGCCGCTGTCGAGGAAGTTCACAGAGTGGGTTTACGGACCCGTTCACGCCTCACTTTATGACATGAGCTCTGTCGACACCAACGAAAACAACTCTGTGTTGGAGATAATTGTTTTTGGAAGCCAAATACCGGTAAGAAAATGACGTCTAAACCTAAATTAAGCATGCAGTATAACGAGGTGGACAGCCCTGGCCTGAAAGGACTGAGGCTGATGAGTGGAGTGTCTGCAGCCGTGACGTGAGACAGGTGGAAAATGGGTGTGGCGGGCTGACTGGAGCTACTGGAACAGAGAAACAAAAACTAAAAGCAACAGGAAAAAGAAACAAGAAACACAAAATCTGTCACAAAAAAACACAGATTGTGGCAAAAAAGCACATATTTTATTATTAAAACATACACTCACCGGCCACTTTTTAAGGTACACCTGTCCAACTGCTCGTTAACACTTAATTTCTAATCAGCCAATCACATGGCGGCAACTCAGTGCATTTAGG